AATTTTTCTTATTTGTTCATTTAAATCATCAGAAACATTTAACTCATTTATTTTTGTCTTAGCATAACAATTATTAGTTGTATGACCATTACGCCCACATTTATGACAAATAATAATATCTTTTGATTTTCTTTTAGATTTTTTATAATTTGGTTTATAAGGTTTTTTAGAATTTGACGCATAATCTTGGCCTTTCTTATAATTTTCTGGAAGATTATAATTCCTTTTCTTGAAATATTTTGAAGATCTTTTCTTATATACTTTAGATTTTGAAGTAGACGGACCATTCAAGGGCTGATAACCATATTATTGGTAAAAATTTCCCAATTCATTTTTACTGTTAATTCTATCTTTTTTGAGCTTTTCTTTAAACCTAAGATCAGCACAAACTGCTAATCCCTCTTTATTAATGTAGTTTATTAGATCTCCATAAGTTAAATTTTGATAAAGGATGGTATTATTAAAATTTTCTCTTAATTTTTGTCTAACTCTTTCTGCAAAGAGTTTTGGAAGGCCAGCAATAAAGCGTTCCTTCCAATAAGATTCTTTACAATCAGGTCTCGAAAAAACTTTAACAAGATAGTTATCTTTATACCATCTAAAATTAGTAAGTTTTCTGCAATGTAAATTCATTAAAATTTCTGAAGTTTTTTCTTGAAAAGTAGTAGGATCTCCTACAAAGTTTTTGATAATAGCAAAAATTAAAGTGTTAACCATATTATCTTCAAATGTTTGTATTTGTTGATTATTTTCTTGTTTTATAATAGTTTTCTTAGCAGATAAAATATAATCTTTTTTCTTCTTGTGAAATATAGAAATCCCACCATCCTTTAAGGTTGCCAGTAAAATCAGAAGTAATAATATTAACAATTTGAAGTTGAGTATTATTATGAGCTTTATAAGCATTAGCAGCCATAGTCATTTGTTGTATAATATTTCATAATTTGATGTTCAGAATGGCCATCAACATTCCATTCATAAACATAATTACCATCATATTGAGAACGATCAAATTGAAAACTTCGTTCTTCTGATTGAACATCTGGAAGAGAGGGCCTATTCCAATAATTTCTTATGGTTGGTTTTGGATTTTTTTTCCGAAAGTGCTTCGCTTTGATTGATGAATTTTATTAAGATTTGAAAAGTCATTAGTGAGTTGGCTAATATCATCATTTGAATTAACAAATTGTTGAGCAAGAGTTTCAAAATTTGTTTCACTATTAATATCAATATTTTCAAATTCATCATTTGTAAGAGTATTAATATTGTTAGTGTTTGAAATATGAAGTTTTGAAAGTCTTTTTTCTAATTCGTTAATTAAATCCATATTTCCTAGATTAAAATTATCATCGATTTGACAAGGAACAAAACTTATATTACTAGCGCTTGTCATATCTTGCTTATTATCATTCTTGTCTTTGAAAATTTTTTCTTCAACTTTAACTAAATGCTCGGTAATACTAGATAAGGTTTCGTTTGCATAATTATTTTGGTAAATAATTTTTTGAAGACCCTTTCCAGTAGTTAATTGATTTGGGGCTTGAACTAAAAGAGTCGCAATAAACATATCGTTAATAATAATTTCTCATTTTGGTGGAAAATTAGCAATAATTTCTTTATTAGAAATAATATCTTTATATTTTTTTTCTTAAAATGGGAGTGATAGAATCATTTTTAAATGGGTAAAGTATTTTATGTTTAGGGGCATAAATTAACTCAAACCATTGAAAAAAAAGGAGAATAAATTTTATTTGATAAAACATAATATTCCCAAATGCCTAAATGGAGAAATCTTAAGTAGTATGAAAAATTTTCTTCGTGCCAAACTCTTTTTTTATTATTATAATCTTTGTAATACTCAATATTTTTTAAGTAATCAAAGTCAACTTGATATTCTAAATTTGAGAAATTCATTTTAACAGGTTGTTTTTGTTAGGATTGAAGAAATATGTTTTATTGACTCTAAATTATGACTTCGTGATTTTTCGTATTTTTTTATTCCTATCGTTAGCCTAGAAATTTTTTCTATTTGTTTATTATATTTATTTGTATATGGAAGTATTTTGTATAAATTATAATCTTCATGAGTTCTAGTTTCTTCTAAACCTTGAATGGTTTTGTATATATTAGAATTTATCTTCCAATGTCTTTTTAATATATTAGCCCAAAGCTTATTATTTTTTGAACAATTAATTTGTACTTTAGAACTCATATTTGTTGTTTAAAATTTTGAAGTTAATCAATAAAATCTGATTTAGTAGGACTAGGAAAACTATTTCCATTATTTTGATCATCTTGATATAATGGTTTGGGAATAGAATTAGTATAGTCAACAGTTTTTAGTTTTAAAGATCTTGACTTTGATAACGAAGATTTTGAAGAACTTGTTTCTGGGATAAAAGAAGTCGATAGTCTGGATGATGAAATGTTAAGGAAGAAAAATTTATATCTACTGAACCATCATTATATTCTATAATATTTGAGATTTGTTTCGAAGAGTCTAATGATTTTAGATCGATAACATTTTGTAAATTCCAGTTACATGATTGAGTTATATCAGACCATTTTAACCTTTTTGGTGTGTGGACTTTGGTATGGTTAGTATTTGCTTCAAAAATAATTGTTTCATTTTTAAGACTTGATAAACGTGTTTTCGGTTCAAGTGTAGTTGTTATAATTTTGTAACAAACACGATAAATTATTGTTAAAGGTTTTGTATCATCTTTAAATTCTAAATTTTTTGTTTCTACAGTTAACACTAAAGTATCTAAAATATTTTTATCAAATTATATATATATATATATATATATATATATATATATATATATATATATTGAAATATCAATAAATACTAAATTGATATAATAAGGATTAAAAGTAATTTTTTAAAATAGAAAATGATATAAATTGAAAATATGTTTTAACTAGAAGGGGTAAAGACGTAAATTTTTGATAAAGTGATTGTTTGATGGGGGTGTTAAGAAAATCGTTTAAATAAAGACACCGTCTGTTGGTTTGTCTTAAAATAATAGTCCATTTCGAAAAATAAATAACATTTTTACCAAAATACTTCCTCTTTATTACTTAACCAACTAAGCATTTAAAGGAATATTAAATGCAAAATAAAGACAAAACTGTCGTTTTATTAAATAAAATTAGTGGTAATTAATGTTTTTTTAATATATATGTTTTTTTTTATCCGTAGACAATAACATTGAAAATATAAATTTAGGTTAAAATGGCTTTGACACTAAAAGTGGTTTTTGACCGATAAATTAGGTGGGAATAGCAACACCCAGTTTATGATTTTGAATAGGGATAATGACTTGAAAGGGTAACGAGCTTTCGATTTTTATCACATTTAGTCACTAAACTTTTTTTCGTTATCTATTTGCCATTGAACTATTGAAACTGTTCACATTTTACCCTTATGACCGGCTGTTGCCGGTCATAAGGGTAAAATGTGAACAGTTTCAATAGTTCAATGTCAAATAGATAACGAAAAAAAGTTTAGTGACTAAATATGAACGAAATCAAAAGTTCGTTTCCCTCTAAAAAGTTCAATGACTAAATGTGAACAAACTTCCTCTTGTATTATGTTTTAGCAAATTATTTATTTTTGTTAAATTGTAGCAACATTTGTTGATGAAGAAATCTATGAAATAAAAAAAAAACAAAACAAAACCCTGAAAATATATTTTAAAAAAAAAACAAAAAACCAAAACCGAAATAAAAAACCAATGGTTTGACATTTTCCAAAATAAAAAATCAAAATTTCCAATCTGATTTTGGTTTTACAAAAAAATGGATCATTCTCACTGATGTGAATTATGACCATTGGTTTGGCATGCGAAATTTGTGACATCCCATGAATATATAGTTACAACATCGTCTGAACTCGTAATTCATAGTAAGGGGTTAGAGTAGCATCGCATGAATACGTAGTTACAATATCGCCTGAAATTGTAATTCATCACCTACAAGTTATGGGCCTGCTGGTGTTTCCACTAGGCTGTCTAGAATAGTCTGTGGTCGCCATCTATACTCTGGTAGATGACTACATCGCCACAGTGCTGGTTAAGGTTATGGTATCTCCTTTCATCCTACATCACATATTCATCATCATCTATTTACCTAATTATCATCACCTTTCTATCATCACCTATCTCTCATCATTTTATTTCATCACATTGCTGGTTAAGGTTATGCTTCATAACTTCGAACCCCAAGGTTTACTCTACTAAAGTTTCATATTCTCGTCTCTCTGGACCTAGAAGGGTCCAGATCTATCACACCAAAAATCTCAAGATAGCTCTTCCTCTCACTCTACACACTCAAGCTCGCTAGGGTTCTCACTTATAGGAAAAGTAGTCGCAATTGAAGGTCATAAGTTCCTTTAAATATGGCTCGGGCCCAAAGATTTAGGGTTTCTGCCAACAGCGCAGACTCGTCGAATCGCCTCACCGACTCGTCGAGTCCATTCATTAATCCAAGTCATCAGTCGCGACCTTACTCGACGAGTTGAGGCGTCAACTCGTTGAGTCTCTCTTCCTAACTCAAAAGAAAAATACTTAAATTATGATACCTGGAAATCCGGATGTTTCATTTTGTTTTTTTTATTTCATAGATTTCTTCATCAACAAATGTTGCTACAATTAAACAAAAATAAATAATTTTCCTAAAACATAATACAACAGGAAGTTTGTTCACATTTAGTCATTGAACTTTTTAGAGGGAAACAAACTTTCGATTTTGTTCACATTTAGTCACTAAACTTTTTTTCGTTATCAATTTGCCACTAAACTATTGAAACTGTTCACATTTTACCCTTATGACTGGTAATAGCCGGTCATAAAGGTAAAATGTGAACATTTTCAATAGTTCAATGGCAAATAGATAACGAAAAAAAGTTTAGTGACTAAATGTGACAAAAGTTGAAAGTACGTTACCCTTTCAAGTCATTATCCTTTTGAATATGCTTTTAATAGAAAAGGACTAATGGCAGATATGTAAATAATGTAAATAACAAGGGCATGGTATTAGAGTCTGGCATTCACAAGCAAACAAACACAAGCAAAGGGATTAGTTGTGGACGATACACGATAGAGAAGATAGATTCGCTCGAGAGCTTCGCCTGAGACATTTATGGCGGCAGCTTCTTCCAGGGCTTTCTTGCTCTCTCGATTCGCCGACATCTCACTTTTTCACCACCAACCACCGCCCTACTCCCACCACCTCCTCATCCGTCCCTTGCCGCCTTCCTTCTCCGCCATCACCGCCTCCAAGAAACGTCCAGGTCCTGTTGCTATCGTCAGCTGTCTTATATCCGGAGTAGATGGCGGTGGCGTCTCCGATGAGTTTGTGTCCACACGCAGGTCCGTCTCGTTCGATCGTGAATTCTCCGTCATCGCCAACATGTTGAAGAAGATCGAGCCGTTGGATACTTCCGTGATCTCTAAAGGCGTTTCCGATTCCGCTAAGGATTCCATGAAGCAGACCATATCTACGATGCTAGGGTTGCTTCCATCGGATCAGTTCTCCGTTATGGTTAGAGTTTCGAAACGTCCTCTTGATCTCTTATTATCCTCTTCGTTAATCACAGGGTAAATCATAAGTAACTATGATTTTGTTTATTAATCGTTACATTTGATTAATCTAGTCAATTGGATCTGTTATTGATTGCAATTGATGTTTGTTATGAAGGTATACCTTGTGGAATGCTGAATACCGGATTATGCTGATGAGAAACTTTGAAATTTCTCCTTCTAATGATTCGAAAAAGCAAAATTGTGGCGAGGATAATGAGGTTTCAGATGAGAAAGTCGATAAAAGTGAATGTTTATGTGATAGTGTCGTGATGGAATGTTGCACTGAGGAATCCGAGAGGTTAAATCTACAAAGTTGTTTGGGTGATTTGACTCCTGAAGCCATGAATTACATCCAACAGTTGGAATCAGAGCTATCTACAGCCAAAAAGGTGAGACACTATGTGTGACTTTGCTTATGCTATCATAGAGCTTGAATCAGCTTTAACGGTGATTTCAATTTTCGTTACCTTTTCTTCTCAGGAACTGCATGGTAGGAAGCAGGAGAATATGCAAATTGAAAACACAAGAGAAAGTGACAATGATCTATTGAAGTACTTGCGATCATTGGATCCTGACATGGTAACCACAAATTTACAATTAACCCTAATCTAATCACTCACTTCCTTCTTAAACTGATGATTGAAAACCAAATCATCCATCTTTCTTGATCAGGTGAATGAACTATCAAGACCATCATCTTCAGAGGTTGAAGAGGTTATACAAGAACTTGTACAGTGTACATCAAGAAAGTTCTTCAAGGAAGAAACAACAGAAAATTTGGACATAGGAAGCCAAGAAAATTACCCAAATGATAATGATAACTTCTGTGACACCATTGGGACTTCACGAGATTACTTAGCAAAGTTGCTTTTCTGGTTAGTGAAAACATTTCATAAAAGCTATGATGTATGATTATGAAATTAAACTTTAACAAATTTTGGTTTTTTGTAGGTGTATGCTAATGGGGCATCATTTGAGAGGGTTGGAGAACAGATTACATCTGAGTTGTGCAGTGGGGTTGTTGTGACTTGTGATAAAGATAAAACAAGGTAGAAAGATTGTATATGCTTTTCCTTTTTTGAAATTTACTGTTTATACTTTATTAAGATTACTACAAGCAAGCCATGATTCAATGCCATGTTCTTGATTGTATTTATCATGTAATTTAACTCATCCTCCATCCACTTAGGCCTACAATAGTAAATTTAAATCGATTGATGAATATAAGTTTACATAAAAAATCAGACTTTTGGTGTGCATAAGCTACCTTATTGAAATGTAGTATTTGGTGAGACTACTAAAGTAGTTTTGATAAGCTAGCTTTTTTAAAAAGCTTGGGTCTTTTTCCACTAGTTTTCCAAGTATACCTTTATATGCTCATTTCTTGATATTTTTATTTTATGTTATTTTACATTTTTCATCTAGCTTATCCAATCATCTTTACCAAACGTTATTACTTTATCAGGTAGCTCTTACCAGTACTTATCAGTATCAGGCAAAAATTAGTTTTTCAGCTAGTCTGTCAAATGCATTGGACTGGGACTGAACATGATGTCAGTCAGGGGACAAAAATTACAAAATTTTATCCAACCAAAAAAGGTGGGATAGAGGTTTGTGTGTGTAAATGATGTAAATGCCCTTCTTATCAATGGTCTTAAAAAGCTAGTCCGGTCACAAACTAGGGGCATATCTAGAAGGGTGGATACATGAACTTTTGCTTGTAGTATAAAAATAGAAAATATTTGTAATGGTAATACATTTATTAAACACTATTTAAAATAATAATAATAATAATACATAATTAGTGGAGCTCTACGAAGAAATTGGCAATAGGTGAGATTTTCATTCAATTTGATCTTGGAGTGGTCAACTTTGACGATTTTTAGGTTGACTTTTTAAACGGCACCAAGCCAACAAATGTTGACCCACAACTATTTGAAGTAGTCATCAAAAAATCATGATTCATGAGTCATTATTAAATTTCTCAAAAGAAAGTGTTTTACCAACTTTTTAGTAAATTAGCTTTTGAAAACCCATAATAACACGTTTTCTTGGAAATATCAATTGTATAAGGAAAGAAAGTTTTATGTGATTTATGCAAATAAGACATTCTTTATTAGAGATGGCAATTCAACAGTTGAGACGAGCTAACATGTCAAAATCAGTTACATATCTTGTGATGGTTTAAGAGGATCGGGATTGTATGTCCATTTCTATCAAAAAAAAAATTATAAAAATAGCTAAAAATTACATAATAAAATGGGGTAAATAGGAAATGACATGTATTCTTCCATCCATGGATAGACTGATTCTATATGTGAAGTATATAGTAACACAATGGTGATTTTGAATTCATTGTTTGGACTAGAGTCTTCTCTTAAATATATCTTTCATCTTGTGGCTTACAAATCGTTTCACTTGGAAGCATTTTTTAGGCAAAGGTCTACTAGAAGCACAATTTCTTCTTTGATGTCTTATATACCGCTTATTCTCTTATCAGTTCAAATACGTGCACAATTCGAGTAAAATGAGAGAATTAGGTTCAATGCCTGTTATTATCAAAACATGAGAGAGAAGGATAAGTTGAAATACTTGCACCAACAACATTATTTGTCATGCTATATTAGATTAGATAATTACATTTGTAATTTTAGATATTCACTAAAATGTTCATATTTGATACCCACGTGACCTTTTATTTATCATTTCCAATAAGTGGGACTCGTTGTCTCATTTAGCATTCGTGATATTCATTTAATTGGCGACCAAGTTTTATGTCTAATATGTAAGAGATTAACACGTCTTATACCTTCAAGTGCCCAATCAACGTTTATATTATTTTTTTTTTTTTTGTAAAAACTACTTCAAAGTTAAAGCTTGTAGGATCTGAATATTAGTCCAGTGGTGGTTGATGTTAGTTACTCATGTTTTAAGTAACTCATTCCAATCGTACAACTATGATCTTGCAAAATGAAAACAGTCTTGATCTTAACAGCATAACTTCACAAATACATTTTCCAAAATAAAAACTACCCAAAAATACAATCTTATTCTATCATTATATACCCACAAATGAATCATACAAAAGAAGAAAAAGACTAGTAAAATATGTCAACTTAGTAACTTACACCCTATTAATAATTGTGTCACCAACAGTTAAAAAAAAAGACAAAAAGTAGTAGTAGTAGTAGTAGTAGTAAGCTAAGCTCTGTACAAATCTAAGATAGCCCAACCTAACAGAAAGCAGAGCTTCAAAGACTCACGGCGTCAACTAACCACAAACAACCAACCTTAAAAAAAAACAAACAACAATCCTTCTATTGCGATTCTTCTTCTAATGTTACAAACAACGTTAAACTTTCACAACATTCGATTAAATTGACCACATCCCCCATATTTACACAACCCCAACCCAACATCTTTTCTTTTCTTTTCTTTTATATATAAAATCTTCACAAACATCTGTTTACATAGCGCTCCCATTTGCTCTCACCTAAATTTCTTCAAAACAACAACAATATCAACATACCATATATCCAATTTAGCTAAAAAGTTAACAGATTTTTTGTTTTTTTATGTACCTTTGTATTTGAGAATCAAACTGAGACTGAAGCTGTTGATAAGAATTTGTGAAATCTTTCTATTTTGGCTTGTTGACTATGTGAAGAAGAAGATGATGATGTCACATTTCTTTGTTTTCTTCTTACTCTAAAGTAGTCTTCTGTATCCAGCACATATGATATCTGCAAAATTCATTATATGTCAAATTATGCTACATTTATTTTTTTTGTATCAATCAAAAATGACCAAAATACCCTTTGATACCTTTGATGAGCTACAAGACATCTTATACTCCAATCCATTCACCACATCAGCACCTTCCATGGCAACCGTTATGCTCGAAGATTCATCCACATCCGGAAATCTTCTTTTATTTCTACAAAAATAAATAAATAAATAAATATAAAAGTAGAAAGTACATAGCTATTTCTCACATAAAACTATACTGATACCTGTTCATTAAGATGCCAGATTGTTTTTTTGTAGGAGCAACAGAAAGAAAATCTTTATAAAGATAAGAAGCAAAATGAGGATCCACAGAAACAGCAACCACTTCAGGCTTTTCATTTCCATCATCCATCAATTGAACGGTCAAACGAGACGTGGGACCGGTCAACTGCAAATAAAAATAAATATCTTATTTCCAATATTTTATAATAAAGAAAAGAAAAGAAAAGAAAACCTACACATTGAAATCTGTAGATGTTTTCATCATGAAGAAGCACATGTGCGTTTTCATAGTAAACAGAATCAATAAATTTCTCTGGTTTTCTTGATTTTTCATATTCGTATAATTGAAGAAGTTTGTTGTCCATTTCATCACCTGCAACACTTTGAAGCTGCATCCAAATCCAAATCCAAATGTGAGTAAAAGTAAAACAATAATAATAATAATAATAATAATAATAATAATTTATTACCTGTTTGACAAGTTTATAAATTAATTTATCCAAAGTGAATAACACATAAGATTGATTCCCTAAAATTGCACGACAATCGTCTTCAAATTTTGCATTATCAGCTGACCCATCAAGCAAGTTGTATAAAGCACTCATAAATCTGTAAATATTTAAGATTTTAATTCAAGTGAAAATAAAGAATTAAAAAAAATAATAAAAAAAAAAGACCTTGAGTAGAGATCTGGAGAGGAAGTGTCCTTGTTGGAGCTTCTCCACTTTGTTTCAGCAGATGTTGAATTCAGTTTTGCTGATAAAAGCCTTTCATATAAAACCTGAAAAAAAAAATATATAATTAAAATTAAAAATAAATAAATAAATATTGAATATTGAATATTCTTACTTGATGAAGCCTAAAGAGGACATAAAAGCTATCATTCCCATAAAAGACATGCAAATCTTTTATTTCACCATTATCACATAAAGGAGCTGCAACACGTTTTGCTAATGGCTTTGCAGTTGACAAAAATTGCTCAGACGGGGGCAAAATCGTCAAATCACCACCACCACCATCCTCCTCCACCCCCTCAGCCTCCCCTTCACTCTCCGCCTTACCATCACCATCACCATCACCATCAAGATCATCACCTTCTTCATGATCTTCCTGCGAACAATCATCGGCGGCTGACTCACTGCCGGAGACATCACCGCCGCCCTCAGAGACATTCACACTGTCCTCGTCATCACCACCACCACCACCACCCCTGTGTGAATTGTTATCTCCATATCTGACGAAATTGCCCTCATCAAAATCATTATTTGGAGATAATTCGCCCTCTTCTTTCTCAATTTTAGCTGCTTCATTCAAACCTCCTCCGTTTGCAGCTGTTATGAGATCCCGATGCTGTAGATTACAAAAATATACTAAATTACTTTTTTGCCCTTTTTTTAATTTTGTAAATCATTAATGAAAAAAGTCTTACCTGTGATGAAGGAATTTTGTCAATCTTAGACTTGGATTCATGAGCATCCTCATTAACATTATTAGGTCTAGAAGTACTTGCTTCACGCCCTGAAAACAAATTTCCAAAATTACCCTCCACCACAAAAATATAGAAATCATAAATGTCAAGATTACAAACCAGATAAATCTACAGGACCAGAATCCAAACCCCATGTTCCATTAGAGTTTGACACTTTATCTCCATTCACCATGGTCTTTAAGTCTTCTTCCTTGGTCAAAGTCAAACCATCTCCATTGACCAAACTGTTCTTGTTTGAATCTTGATCAGGTAATGTAGTTTGAGCCCCATTATCACAATCAGCATCTGGATTTCCATTAATTTCAGTTTTGGGAGTAACAATAACACCATGGCTTGAGATTTCAGCATCTTCAACAGAATTAGGGTTTTGAGGGCGAAAAGGGACACCTAAAATTGGCTCCAAGAAACTGGTCCATAGCCTTAAGACTTTGTTTAATTGTTCCTTTGATGTGCAGATTTCTTCACATGAATATTTTATGAGTTTTAATAAGTCTTCGTGAATGTCTTTGTCTTTGAATTCATATTCAAGATTTGGAACTATGTAGTGACGACTTCCAGCCGCAATACTCAATACAACATCATCATCTTTCTGGCTTTTTTCCTTTATTTCTTTGATTTCAGCCACCAATGCTGTTTATAAAGACAAAAAAGACTCTTTAAATATATAAAGATTAAAACTTGATGATACCCAAAGACAAAAAAGACTCTTTAAATATATAAAGAATCAAATGTTTCCTAAAAAAATTAAAACCTGATGATACCCAGAGACAAAAAAGACTCTTTGAATATATAAAGAATCGAATGTTTACTAAAAAGATTAAAACTTTATGATACCCAGAGACAAAAAAGACTCTTTGAATATATAAAGAATCGAATGTTTACTAAAAAGATTAGAACTTTATGATACCCAGAGACAAAAAAGACTCTTTAAATATATAAAGAATCAAATGTTTACTAAAAAGATTAAAACTTGATGATACCCAGAGACAAAAAGACTCTTTAAATATATAAAGAATCGAATGTTTACTAAAAAGATTTAAACTTGATGATACCCAGAGACAAAAAAGACTCTTTGAATATATAAAAAATCGAATGTTTCCTAAAAAAATTAAAACTTGATGACACCCAAATCAACAAAATCAAGAATTTAAGTTTGTTTCAGGGTATGTGCATGCATACATACCCTGAAAGAAAATTTGGTAGTGTGTTATAAAAAAAAAGGTCATTATATTAAAGAAAATCATGATAAAGATTTTTTATTGTAGTACATGGTTGAGTCAAAAATCAAAACTTGATATCCAAATCACTGAAACCAAGCACCTAATATTTTTCAAAAGAAATAAAAACAATAAATTGTCATTCTAAATTTCTAACACATCCCCTGAACAAGATTTGTAAATGTATTGACTAATGAATGAAAGGTTGGGTCGAAAATCTTGCAAAGAAAAAAAAAAAAAAAGATTACTTACATTTGGTGCTGAGATTCTTTGAATCTTGTTGCTTGAAATAGAAGCTACGATGATCTAATGATTTGTAATGATTCTTTGCATATATTTCAGCCCACACCTTGTTAAAGTCAGACCTACACTTTGACCAATCTTCTTGTTTTTGTTTCAATCGAGTCAATATAACAGGTAATGCAAGAGATGGATTTCTTCTCAATATATCCATCACATCAAGCCCATGATCACCATATAAACGTTCAATACACCTCAAATCAAGAGCTACATTACATATCAAACACACAACATTTCAACATAATCCCAAATTATATAAATAAATAAAAAAGTTCACCATTTTTTATTACAAAATCACCTGTGAAATGCTCTTCAATACGAATGGGTCCTTCTGTAGTGATTGACTTGTTGTTGATGTTGTTCAACAAATCTTCTGCACGTTTAGATGTTGAACTCACAGATTCCAATAACATATCCAGCTCAAACCTAAAAAATCATCATTGAAAAAGTTTGAAACAGATACATAAGATGTGAAAACTCACACAGTTGTAACAATTAGGGTTTTTTTAGGGTTTACCTATCGTCCTCACATCTGAAGAGGCTTTCTTCATACTGGTTTCTACGCATGTGTTTGAAGGAATAATCTTCACTTCCAGAAGTTACAGATACCCAAAGATCATTAAGTACTTGAGATCCAAGCTCTGATCTTTGGCTTACTGAAGGTATTGGATACTAAAAAAGACCAAAAAAAAAAAACACAATTAAATGATGTATATGATCTTTCAAATAAGAAAGAAGAGAAAGAAAGAGTTACATCATCAGGGAGAAGTCTGTAACTAGGTGTGCATCTTTGACAATTGGAAAGATCAAGTTCTTGAATTGATTTTCCCCAATATTTCTCTTTATACATGTCCTCTTTTGCAGCATCAGCTTCACGTCTATGTTCTCTCTCTTTCTCCTCTATCCTACTTGATTTTGAGACATGCCCTTCATTCCATAAAGCTTCTGTAATTCATAACATGTTACATGTTATGTCAGATTAGATGACATGAACAAAAGTACAAAAACCAGACAAGAAAGAAGAAAGACATACTTTTATCCATCACACCTGCAAGGAATCCATCTGAAAAAAAAAATATATACGTATTAGTGAAAAAGATAGCATAAAAGATTATAAAAGAGTCATGAATGTCAAAAAAAAAGGCACCTATATGCATGTATTAGTGAAAAAGATAACATAAAAGATCATTAACGACTCATGAATGTCAAAAAAAGCCACATATACGTATGTATTAGTGAAAAAAGATAACATAAAAGACTTATGAATGTAAAAAAAATAAAAGAGGGGGGGGGGACCTATATTTTCACAACGTTCCAGAAATGCACTGAATCCTTCCATAAGATCTGGGTGCTTTCCGAGTAAATCTGAAACCTGAAACAAGAAAAAAAATTCAACGTTTAAAAAATTTTAAGAATGAAAGATCAAGGAAACAAAAAACAAGCATAAAAATACATACCAAGCTCTGTAACTCTTTCCTTGTAATTATTTCAGTGCTAAAGATATGTAGACACTTCAAGAAAGCTTGATAATCATCTGTATTGCGTAATCTATCCTTCACTTTCTCACAGAAAGTAAATTCTTGGCTATATAAACCTATAAAAAACAAATCCCATAAGTTTTTTTTATTGAAATATTTAAAAACTGCTCAACTAATAAAAGAAATTAACTAACTTTTAAGAGCATCTTTATCATCATATGGAGCTAAACCCGAATTCACTCCAAAATCTTCAACTTTTCGTGCAGATTTTCTTTTTTCAAGATGTTTCATGTCCCTATTAGCATCAATATCAGGCTCTTTAAAATCTTGATCACGATTTCTTCTATCTCTGATTTCTTTTTCAGATCGTTTTCTTTGCTCCTTGTGAAGTTTCATCATTGTTTTATCATCTTCCATTTCATGACCTTCAACACTTGGGTCCCGCTCTCCATGTGGAGGAATAATCTTATCTCTCCTCCCTCGTTGCTAAAAACATATACACATTTAGTCCTTTGAATAAAAGATTACAAAGAGTGAACAAATGTAAAAAGCTACTTACTTTATCTATTTGTGTATGCCTTAAAGGAGCCATAGCTGAGCTTCTTTCATCATATCGGTTGTAAGATTGCCTTAGAAATGAAGCTTGATGTGCAGATGCAGCAGCAGAAGCATCAGGTAGAAATCTTGTAAATTCATCAAGAAGATCAGGATGATCATCAAAAAGTGTGGCAACCTGTGTAAATTGTAATATAAGATTATAATATATGATTATATTTCTATGTGAATTGTGAGTTTGTGACATGAAATAGGTGTAGAAAAGAGTATAGAATTTTACCTCATGGTAGACTTCATTGATACCCTTGTGTTCCTTTCTATACATATTCAAGATGTCTAGAAACGACTTGTAAACATGATCATCATTTTGAAAACGTTTCTGAACAAGAGAAGAACAGGGTTAGAAATTAGAAGGTATACATATACAAAAGATATTATTTTGTTAGACATAAGAATTATCGATTTCACCTTTATTTTGTTTACAAAGCTTATAGCTTCCTCAAACTCTATGGTTCTTTTTGGTGGAGCCTCATCATCTTCAATAACTGTAATTTCATAGCCTTTTGGCAAGAAAGTGTTGAACCCAAAAATAAGATTATTGTGCCCTTTAAACAATTCTTTCACTCTTGCTATGACTCCAGTAGTATCAATTCTGCATAAGGTAAAATGTCAAATTGAGGTGCATGTTGAATCGTTGATGTGAAAACAACTACCATTTCATTGTGATTTTTATGTACCTTTGAGCTTTAAAGTCTTTCATAACATCAAGAAACATGTCGTATTTTTCTCTTTGATCTTGAAACATGTCCTTAACCTCTTTTAAATATGTCAAAGCATCATTTGTAGTGAGCTTTTGGGCACTACTAGCACCTCCTCCACCACCTACCCCTCCTGCTGCTTCACCTCCTCCTCCTCCTCCTCCCCCTCCTCCAGGGATTTGGGGTTGGCCGTATCTTCAAGATGAAGAAGAAAAATGAAAATCAACCCTTTTAATAATATATAATTAAGAAACTCACATTCAAACACCTGGATATGGGACAAATCCTATATGATTTCATGGAGATACTATCAAATGGAATGCTCTATCTAATTATTCATGAATAAGATTCCATGACTCATAGGAAGAGATTCCAATTTACTCTATCCCTCTATCCACTAGCTGATCTAATAATCTTATAATCATAAGCCCTAAAACCTAAAAAGGACAAGAAAAACACCCTACCAAGGGCATAAATTTATCATGCATAAAGAGCATAAACTTATCACTTATCATCGAGGTTTATTAGGCTATAGCTGAACAAATAAAAGTCAAAAAGAACAAGTCAAACCATAGTTCGTGCTAGATGTGATTTCAGAAGCCAGTTATCCTGATCATGCGTTTTTTTGCAGGTGAATCCACCAAATTCAAAACTAACCCCATAAAAGTACAAGCAGATTCAAATTCAAAGGCAATTAGGCAAAAAGTGCATATTTGCATGAAGCAGATAAACCAATAAGATCAGACAGGCCTCTCGAATCATCACAACACATGAATAATCCACACAACCAGACGAAGAATTTAACAAATAACAACACGAAATTGAAAGAATTTAAAGACTGGAGCATACGATTCTCCACGAGATGAACCAAAAGGTCGCTTAATTTGAGAGTTACTAAATACATCATCTCGTAATCGTTTCATATCTGCAAAAGCAAACCACAAATCAAGATTGTTTGAAGATAAGCGTAAACCACAAACAAATTGCAAAGATAGCACCGACTAAATCTGTTTTATAATATCAACAAATTATAAGGATTACAAAAGGCTAAACCTGTGAAGTAACCCTCGAAGGAGGGAAATTGGGCAGATCTAAGCACCCAACGAAATCAAACAAGTTGTATCACCTTTAGATCGAAGTTTCGAAACAACAATTACTTGTGTAGCAAAAACAAACCAGTTTGAGAAGAGATACCAAGAGGTACAACAACAAAAAAGAGGTGAAGAAATTTGTGCATTGTGCGTGTAATTGTAATCTAATTTACGTGACGCCATTTATATAATTTTCATAATATGAGGGGCTTTATATATCTACTAGAATTTCTCGAAAATGGGCTTGTGTATATTTGGCAATCAAGGATCAAGCATTTCCTTTTATATAGTTGGGCTTTAGTACACAAAAATTTGCCCTAATTCATGTCTAGGGTTCATTTTCACCTTTTTAAGGATTATGCTAATGGACTAATGGCAACCAAAAGCCCAGCTGTTGGTATATTAGATAATTAGAAGTGAACAAACATTTTTGAGTATTCCTAATTTATATTAACACAAAAAACCACAAAATGTGTCAACTTCAAGTATGTTAGTATAAAAATAATATTATGGGCGCACACATAATAGATTCGAAAATGCATATTTCAATCTGAAATATGTATTCCGGTTGAGAATATGAAAAACCGGTCTAAAATACGATAAATCAGTCCACGATATCGGTGATGTTTTTGTTTGTGACCTATATAGACAAAACTAAAAAAAAATACAAATAAGGAAGTAAAAAATGATATAAGATCATTATACAATACCATTTTGACAAATAGGCGATGAATGGAAACAAATTTGGAGTAGGGTTGATAAAATTTTCTTAAAATGAGATGGTATTAATGAAATGAAATCAACATTAAAAAAGCCTCGAATGGAATGTTCTCGACTAGTTTGTAACAACTTTAATAGTCTGTAATGAGTCTAATTGTGGGCACGTCGGATTCTCGACTACCGTTACGTCAAATCTCGCCAACTTCGGAACAAATATTATTACTTTGAAATGTTGTGTTATGAACAATTAGGTTGATTTTTTAAATAGGTAAATATATTCATTTTTGTTAGTTACCTCCTTTATTCTATAATGGTTATTTCAATCAATATCCTAATATATATTTCTATTATATATTATTTTAAATACTAAATAAATAAATAAAATGTAACATTAATATTTTGAGCCTAATGGTTTTGATATTTTTAATGGTAAAATAATTTTTGTAAATAAATAAACTAAAATTTTTAAAAACAATAGATATAAATATATAAAACAAGTTACCATTAGAATTTTAAGATTATCAGCATGTTTATAAGACCAAATATAAGATTAAAAAGAAAAAAAAATGTTATAAAATAACTAAGACTGTCAAAATTGAAAAACTTACATGTGATCTTAATTTAAGACCTAATCGATATGAAATATATCTATATCTATCTATATAAATATTATAAAGGATGTCATCCAAATCATGGTTTAAAGTAAATAATTTATTTTGAACCATATTAATTAGAATTTTTTTCCTTTTTGTTCCACATTGCTTCACATACATATCTAATCTTTCATTTTCCTTTGTATGATATAACTAATTTGTTTCTTTTATCCTTCAAACTTAGATCATAATGTGGCTTTTAAATTATATTATTAATATTTGTTAGTGGTCATTTTATTATAAAAACAATTTTTTATGTGAAAGTTTCAAAAGGATATTATTATTTAGTTTCAAGTTTTAAAAGTATTAAAACTTAAAGTTATCATATAAAATAGTTAAACACTTAAAAAAATGATTAAGTTTGCATGCTCATAGTTAGGGTGAGCATAAGTAGGTACCTTCCATATTTGAATCGAACCAGAAATGAAAACGACGGTTCTTAAAATATTGGAACCAAAATTGGAACTGTTACAACGGTTGTTTAGTGTTTGGAACCGGTCCCGGAACCAATGGTTACCAGTTCCTAACTGAGTAGTCAGGTTTAAGTTTATATATGACTTTGAAGCTAAATAAGCTTAAATAATAATATGTATTTCGGTTGAGAATATGAAGACCTGGTCTGAAATACGACAAATCATTCCACGACATCTGTGATGTTTTTTGTTTGTGACCTATATAAACAAAACTCAAAAAAAATACAAATAACGAAGTAAAAATGATATAAGTCATTACAAAATACCATTTTGACAAATAGGCGATGAATGGAAACAAATTTGGAGTAGGGTTAACAAAAATTTCTTGAAAGGAGATTGTATTAATGAAATGAAATCAACACTAAAGAAGCCTCAAATGGAATGTTGTTGACTAGTTTGTAACAACTTTAATAGTCTGTAATGAGTCTAATTGTTGGCATGTCGGATTCTCCACTACCATTACGTCAAATCTCACCAACTTCGGAACAAATATTATTACTTTGAAATGTTGTGTTCTGAACAATTATGTTGATTTTTTAAATAGGTAAATATATTCATTTTTGTTAGTTACCTCCTTTATTCTATAATGGTTATTTCAATCAATATCCTAATATATATTTCTATTATATATTATTTTAAATACAAAATAAATAAATAAAATGTAACATTAGTATTTTGAGCCTAATGGTTTTAACATTTTTAATGGTAAAATAATTTGGTAAATAAAATAAACTAAAATTTTTAGAAACAATAGATATAAATATATAAAACAAGTTACCATTAGAATTTTAAGGTTATCAACATGTTTATAAAACCAAATATAAGATTAAAAAGAAAAAAAAAATGTGATAAAATAATTCAGACCGTCAAAATTGAAAAACTTACATGTGATCTTGATTTAAGACCTAATCGGTATAAAATATATCTATATCTATCTATATCAATATTATAAAGGATGTCATCCAAATCAATGTGGTTTAAGGTAAATAATTTATTTTGAACCATACTAATTAGAATTTTTTTCCTTTTTGTTTCACATTGCTTCACATACATATCTAATCTTTCATTTTCCTTTGTATGATATAACTAATTTGTTTCTTTTATCTTTCAAACTTAGATTATAATGTGGCTTTTAAATTATATTATTAATATTTGTTAGTGGTCATTTTATTATAAAAACAAATTTTTATCTCAAAGTTTCAAAAGGATTTTTTTATTTAGTTTCAAGTTTTAAAAGTATTAAAACTTAAAGTTATTATATAAAATAGTTAAATACTAAAAAAAAATGATTAAGTTTGCATGCTCATAGTTAGGGTGAGCATAGGCAGGTACCTTCTATATTTGAATCGAACCGGAAATGAAAACGACGGTTCTTAGAATATTGGAACCAAAATCGGAATTGTTACAACGGTTGTTTAGTGTTTGGAACCGGTTCCGGAACCAATGGTTACCAGTTTCTAACTGAGTAGTCAGGTTTAAGTTTATATGACTTTGAAGCTAAATATGCTTAAATAATAATATGTATTTCGGTTGAGAATATGAAGAACAGGTCTGAAATACGACAAATCATTCTACGACATCTGCGATGTTTTTTGTTTGTGACCTATTTAGAAAAAACGGAAAAAATACAAATAACAAAGTAAAAATGATATAACATTATTATACAAAACAATTTTGACAAATAGGCGTGAATGGAAACAAATTTGGAGTAGGGTTAAT